TTCCTTAGATGTTTCTCAAATAAGGTGGTAACCTGTTACAAAGAGAATAAAACAGCAATTTCAATTAAAAATAAATCAATAGAAAACAATATTGTGTTTACAAAAGCAGACAAAGGTAACACTACTATTGCTATAGATAAAACAGAATTTAATAACAAAACAATAGAATTCTTAAATAATCAAAACATTGAAACTTTACACAAAGATCCGACAGAAAAATATCAAAAACAAATTAAACTAGCGTTAGAAAATTCAAAATCAATACTAAATCCCATAGAACAGAAATACCTAAATATCATGAACCCACAGCCTCCTAAATTATACTCTTTCATTAAACTACACAAACCGGATCACCCAATAAGACCTGTAGTTTCTTTTTATACAGCTCCGTCATATAAAATTTCAAAAAAACTGTTAGAGATTATTTTAGACCACACTAAATTTTCATCTAAATTTACCATAAAAAATACAATAGAACTAGTTAATAAAATACAACATTTTTAATTACCTAACAACTCCAGATTACTTTCATTTGACGTAAAAAATCTTTTTCCTAGTATCCCTCCTACAGAAACTTTTATTCTAGTAAAAAACCTTTTAGACCAAAATAGTACAAATCCAATAATTACATCTGAAATTTTACATCTTCTCGAAGTTTGCATAAACCAGGACTACTTTGAATTTAATAATAAAATATATAGAAATAACAGTGCAGGACTTATAATGGGTAATCCTCTAAGCCCATTGCTATCAGATATTTTTATGGATCATCTAGAGACAAATATTTCAAAACATCCCGTATTCAAACAGTTTTTATATTGGTGGAGATACGTAGACGACGTACTGGTATGTTTCACAGGAACTAACAGGCAACTCGACCAATTTTTATCATATATTAATTCACTTCATAGTCATATTGAATTTACAATAGAAACAGAACAAAATCAATCCATAAATTTTTTAGATTTAAAAATTAGCAGACTTCAAAACAAACATGACTTCTCCATATTTCATAAACCTAGCCATACTGACACGACTATACACAATTCGTCATCCCATCCAACACAACATAAACTGGCAGCTTATGTTACATTGATTATACTCCATTCCACGAATATACGACTGTTTTAAATTCGCTTTAAGGTGTCGATTTAAATGGTAAAATGTACTGAATTGTGCAATAGTAAATTCTCCCCATTTTTAAAATAATAAAAAAAAATTTAAAAAAAAGTTCGTTTTTGAATTATGTGATTTAAACGAAATGTAACAATACTTAAGTGATCAAATAATGTAAATTTTTTAGTCGAATATTCAATTAATATTAAACAATCAAAAAAACTTACTTATTCACTTATTCTCTTCTTCTAAAACTATCATCAACGATCAGATTCACAGCCATAATCACTCGGCGATATATGAAGTGTATATAAATTTTCGTTACTTTTTAATATCTGTAACGACTCGGTACTTTAACTGTCAATAGCCGGTATGTTATACCCGTTACTTTCGGAACTTTTAAGAGTACATAAACTCAAAGCAAACAAATATTTACAACTAACAAAGTGAAATATTTGATCCTTTTTCTGGTTTGTGAACCATCGTTCTGACAATTTCTTTTCATTTATATTAAAAATAGTATATTTCTTTTTATTACAGTTATAATACCTAATAAAGTAATAAAATGTGTTATATCAAAGAAACCCGGTACGCCTCATTGGTGTTTACATTTCGCGGAAAGCTTACCCAAATATCTGATGAACACATTTGGCTTCATAGACGTCATTGTATTTATTTGTAGATTTTAACTGAAATAATTTTAGTTTATATGTCATACTAGTAGACCCTTTTTACTGGAATAATGATTAGACCAATTGACCTTCATACTTCTACTTGCACAGTAAAATATTCTTTGTATTATATAAGGGTTAGACCCAATATCTGTGGCCTAGAGAGCCCGATCTTTGTTTTTAATATGTTGTTTGTCCACAATTTTTCTTCTATGAAGTATTTATTGCCTAATTGACGATAGCTCTGATGATGACATTTATTATGTCGAAAGTATACTAAGCTTAATTAATAAATTATTTTACACACTATCAATTTTATTGAAAACATACAAAACCTGCTTACCAGTTAGACATATGCATATAAGATGGAAGGCTGACTATTTGGTCTTCAGTAAAGTGCAGTTAAGTTAGAATAGGAGAATGTTAAGTTGAGAAAGCTTAGAAAACTCTTAGGTTTTCACAGCAAAAACTAATTCATCCATGGAGGAAGCTAGGTGTTAGACATTAGGTATTTATTTATCGTTTTTTATTGTTCTTTGCCGATATTTTGAGTTCTTTGGTTTTGTGTTTGTATTTTCCTCTAATTTTTTACCTTCAGATGTATCTTCTTCCGGTAGCATTTCTGTTTTAATTTTTCTGTAAATAATAGTAAATCACGGATAAAAACATGTGTATAAACAATAAAAATACCCAAAAAATAAGTCATGGAGATGACAACAAAAACAGACCAAACTGAGGGCACACTGATTCGGCACCTTAAACGGAGTGATAAAGATAACCTAATGAAGGTGAAGATAAGCTAAGTGCTTAATAAGAGATTATTGTGCACCAACTATTATGTCAAGGGCTTCTAAAGTTGGTGTAATTTTTTTATCATTAATGTAGCTGGTCAAGTTCAAGCATTTTGGTTGAATAATATCGCAAATCTGTAGTTTATAAAGTACATGACCTATAATACCACATTGTACTACCATTTTAATATTTTTGTTTTCTAAATTGATTCTTATTTGACCGTAAACTTTCTATTCTCTAGAAAAAATTCTAATATTTCAACATTTTCGTTCGGAAAATTTACTAAATGAATATCACTTTCCATAATTATTTATTTGAAACATATCGATATAACGAGTTTTGCCTTAAAACGTTAAACTCGTTCTGTTATCAATTTGTGGAATCGTTTTAATTGTTTGTTTTCAAATATTAATTGCAAATACAGACTTAATAGCACACTTCTTTAAACTTTAAACGAAAATATTAGATAATATAAAATGTTTTTGTTTATATTTTATTAAATGTGTATTTTAGTAAAATTCCACAATAAATTGTATTGAATGTTTGCGCTAAAATTCTCAAAATAAATAAAAACTAAATTGTTGAGACATTAACGTAAAAATTTAAGTTATGTCCGTAAATAAATAGTTTGGATCTGTAAGCATTTTGTATAAAAATATATTTGACACAAGAACATCTGGTTTTCTTGATTTTCCTATCTATCGAAGTAAAAAGAATTCATATTTATTTTGTGTTTAAACTATCAGACCAGTAATTGGAAATTATAGATAAACTGTTATGGTTTTACTGCTGTTATTGGCGATTTCTCTGTCATTGACACTTGTATTTACTTGTGTATATAATGGTAATGGTACTTTGTTAAAAAACATAAAAATTTGAGACCTTATAAAGATACTCAGACCAACAAAAAACATTCCAAGTATTAACAAAGCACCTGTATGGACGTTTGAAAATGACCTTTGTTCTCTCAAATAAGATAAACAAATATAATTGTGAAAAAACTACCGATTTTCCTATCTTTCACAAATCTAGTAATTACATAAAAACTCACATTATGAAATGTGCTTTAAATGTTTTTATTATTTATTTAAATATTTATAAACAATTAAAAAACATGCTTACTTTCGGGTTTAATTTGCAATTTTTTTTGTTTATAAACATTTTTCTAATAGATTCCATTTTAAAGGGAAAGTATTTTCAAGAAAGTCATCTGTTTTTTACATTTTTATTTAGAATACGTAGTTTTTTTTACAGTATTGAAATTAATCAAAAAAGTCCCTTTTTTTAGTTTTCACAGTTGAAGATCACGAGTTAATATGATTTTTATATTGACTTTTTCGATTTTTCAAATGATTTTTCGGCTTTGTTTTATGGGGTACTAAGCTATAAACAACTTATATAATTATATATTTAATTTAATTGAAGTATTTAATTTAATAAGTAAAGAAAAATATAAAAAATAGTAATAATTGTTGATGTAGATAAATGACAATTGATTTATACGATTGTATAATTGTTGTATTAGTGTTTATTTAATATTTGGCTATATCCCTAACTTATGCCTCGCAGTTATATGGAGATTGATTTAGATACGAGTTACGTCGAATACAAAAAACTCTCACTAGCTGTTAGTGTAACATGTGTATACAGCGGCAGAAAATCATTGAATTAGTTAATTTTTTTTAGAATAGGCGACTTTGACAACTCCCGAACGAGGTTGATTTTCACTTTTAAATTATATTTTTTTTGCGTATAGTCATACTAGTGACGTTATCCAGTTGAGCGTGATAGTGTTGTTGATGATTTTCATGATATAACTATCAATACATACAACCGGCAATTAAAAAAAATGTCTATATTCGGTCTCTCGTATTTTGTGTAACTTTTTTAACTTGAAAGTGTAACTACTTAAATCGGCTGACAAATGCATGTAAGGAAAAAAACCTCACAGTCTTTGAGTGGGAAAGCAGATCAATTGAACGTTAGCCTCCTGTCTAGTCAACTCCTAAATACACGAAAATTCCATTCTCAGCTGCGAAAAACATTAGATTGACTTAGGACTCTCAACGCTATCACCGAAAAAAGATGTTGACTTGGCACTCAACTTATAACGTATATCCAAGTATCTGCTTTGATGAAGACATCATACTCTATTTACGCTGAGTTTGGTTATTCATAGTGTACCTACAAAAGGCATTTTTTAACTTTTTTTTTTAAGAAATATAGGACCGAAGTGAGTTTACCTGCGATCTTTTCTGTATGGTATTAAAATCTGACCGCCGAAGTGAACTAGTCTATGCCCATCAATGGATATTATTATGTTGAAACACATTTAAATTTTAATTTTGTATTCTCTGTACTTTATCATTTGTATTTAGATAAATATATGAATATTTTAAACAAATGTATTTTTTATTACAGGATCCAAATTAATTTTAAGAAGCGTGAATGGTAGTTTCCAGGCTGGTCAATTGACAGCAATCATGGGTCCTTCTGGAGCTGGAAAAAGCACATTGTTAAATATATTAGCAGGGTATAAGTAAGTAATTTATATACAATTTTTCTTATTACTGATTTCATTATACACATATAATCATTTATTTAATTTATGCTTTGGCGACCATACAATTTATACAATTACTGTGATAGTTGAGCATTTTAGACTATTTTAATTATGTTTATGGCTTCATAACAAAAACCAAAGTAATAGAAAAATATTCAGTAAGCGTGTATGTAATAACTAGTAATTATGTCACAAATTAAGAATGATCACCACAATTATTATACAACACGCTAAATTTTAGGTAAAATTTGAATTAAGTAAACTGTTTTGAATGGCTATGTATAAACGTTCGAATTTAAATAGATGAAAATATTAATGATTTAACCCTTTTATAGGCGGTGGGAAATTAAATTCCCACCATCAAATATTCAATTTAAGGGCAATGAGAATTAGAATTTACATGTAGTATCAGTGCTGTCATCTCACCAAATATTGTTAAAGTGTCCTGCATTACACTATATGGTCAGATATGGAATCTGTATAAATGTTAATTAATTAACATTCAAATGACAGTTGGATTTTTTCTATTTTGTGCAGTTTTGTGAGATTTCAATTCGTAAATTATAAGTAAGGTGTGTAATAAAGTTTATTTTGCACACCATATGTAATACGAGTATAACGGTGATTTCTCATAGTTACTTTTTATAAAATCAATTTATATCAATCAATGAATCAATCAATTTTTAAAAAGTTTTATAATGTGATATATTAGTGGGAAACATATCTCCCACTGCCCAAAATATTCATGTTTAATTTTTAAGCCTGAAATATATTGTTCACTGTATATGTTTCTCTCCTTAACTAATCAGCAAATTTCTGGCGGTTATGTAGAACTAGGATATTTCTCAAACTTCATGAAACTATGACTTTCATAAAACTACGGAAAGCTGTTTTCAAATTACTAGAGAGAAATAGGTCCTTAAACTCTTCTTAAAGATAATTAACACAAGAATATACAACAGATGTGAAAGAGACATTAGCCCCACACAGTTCGGTGTCAGACAAGGATTTGGCACAAGAGAAGCACTTTATAGCTTAACTGCCCTACTTCAAAAATGCAGAGATCAGCAAAAATATGTCTTCCTATGCTTTGTAGATTATCAGAAAGCGTTCGATTGTGTTAATCATTTAGAATTAGTAAGATTTCTCCATGAACATTCGATAGATTAGAATGACTTTAAAATCATAAAAAAACTTTATATGAATCAAGTGGCATCTGTGAGAGCAGGACTGGAATCATATTTCTCAATCGAAAAAGGTGTACGACAGGGTTGTGTTCTGTCACCCCTCTTTTTTATCTTTTTACTCTGAAACAATTTTCGATAGAGCCTTTGGTGACACTGAAGATGGAATCAAAATCAACAGACAGACTATTAGTAATCTTCGCTTTGCTGATGATACAGTCATAATAGCTGATAGCTACGAAGCTCTACAACGACTAATAGATAAAATAAACACTGAAGGAGAACGACTGGGCTTGAAGATTAATATAGACAAGACGAAAGTAATGGTGGTTAGTAGAACACGAAATATGCAATTAAATATAAGAGTAAGCAACAAGAATATACAAATAGTAGAACATACCAAGTTCAGATATCTCGGTAGTTGGATAACTGAAGATCTAGATCCAGACATAGAGATACGCAGCAGCATTAGGCAAGCTAGAATAGCATTTAATAATATGAGAACCTTGCTAAGCAACAGCAGCCTCAACTTAACGCTTCGATATCGCTTTGTAAAATGTTACATTTACTCCATACTGCTAAATGGTCTAGAAACCTGGACCATAAAGGGAAATGTAATGAACCGATTGGAGGCCTTTGAAATGTGGGTATTTAGAAGACTACTTAAAATTCCCTGGACAGATCACACAACAAATATCGAAAATTAAATCGAATGGGCAGATAAAAAGAATTGCTGCCAATAATAAAAAGAAGAAAAACTGCTTATCTGGGACATACATTTCGAAATTCCAAAAACCAGTTCTTAAAGCTTATTATGGAACGGAAGATAGAAGGAAGACGAGGCATCGGAAGAAAGAAATACTCATGGCTTAAAAACATAGGAGATTGGACAATCCTCGATGCCCATGCACTTTTTAGAGCCACACAAGATCGAGAGGAGTATGCCAGAATTGTCGCCAACATCCACTAATTGGATAGGGCACCATAAGAAGAAGAAGAGAGAAATAAGTTTGTAGACAAGACGAATTTATATTCACAAGGAATCTACGTTCCTATAGTTGACCGTATACCATGCATTAAAAAATTTAATTAAAAATCCTTTGTAAAAGGTATATATTTGAGTTAAAAGTTAAAAAGACTTAACGTTTTCGGAATCTATGTTCCATCATCAGTGTCCTAGAAAATAGTTAACCACTTAATTAAAAGAACATAGGTTAAAATTGTACATGAATGTAGCACATGTTTCACATCTGTAAACGGGTTTTTACCCATATATTTAATCTTGGTGGCTACATTCATGTACTTCTAGTAAGTATTAACCACATTTTTCATTAACCTTAGTCAAAATTTTAAACTATGTTCTTTGTAATTAAGTGGTTAACTATTTTCTAGGACACTGATGATGGAACATGGATTCCGAAAACGTTAAGTCTTTTTAACTTAGCCCGTTTGGGCCTCAAATATATACCTTTTACAAAGGATTTTTAATTAAATTTTTTACGAATTTATATGTTTCACGAAACCTGAGTCGAATAAGTAATAAAAATAAAGGACTAGGGACTAAAATTCATATCAAATGCTTGGATAAATACATCTGTGGATAAAATTCAAGCTCTTAGTGCTGTGTCGATTATGATAGTTATTGATTAGTTTCCTCAGTTAGCAAACTATTAATCCAGTGGTCCCTATTTTTTGATTCCGGATATTTTATGAAATATATGTCAACTAAAATATATAAAAAACTTTTTTGGCGCAGATGACATAACAAGTATCATATAGGAGAAATACAGCAAAAATAGCTTATTTGGTACGGACATGGACGGACTATTGCCGACCAAAGGTAATATTGGATTGGCAGCCACCTAAGCGAAAAAAGCAAGAAAGAGCGAAAACAAAATGGCTTGATAATAAAGTCCAAAAGGCAATGTAGAGAGATCTACGACCAGGAGACTGGGCTGATAGACGTAAATGGAGACTCGAAACCGGAAGATACATAACCCTATATATCGGACATTATACATATAGAAATTAAGCTGTACTGTCCCAGAGTTGTTGCAAAATACAATCACATAACGGGTGTCGTCGATAAATATAATCAGTAGCTTTAAGTGAGTGTTAGACTAAATTTAACTAAACTAGCTAACATTTAACATTTAGAAAGAAACGAAACTTACCTGAATTGTTTCTATCAAAAAGCAAGCGGTTCCAAAAGAAATCAGAATTACTGATGTCGATAATTATATACCAAATAAAGACAAAACTTTAGGATAAAAAGTTTAGGCTCTGTAGCACTAAAGCAACCGAAAAAAGAACGAAATATGAATGCTCGTCATGCCAGGTACTTTTGTGCATTCACCCTTGTGCATTTATTATCAAGAAAAATAAATGGATGACAGATCTTGAAATTAATGGAATAACGTCGACTGATAAAATCTAATGTAACAGAATATAGACACCTGCAGAGAAGAATAAAAAAGGAGATCAAATTAACGAACGAAAAATGGATGAGAGAAAGTTGTGACGAAATGAAGGATGTAATATCTAAACACGATTTAATGTGCACAAAAAACTAAAATAAATGAGTAACATATTTAAAAAACAAGTTCCCTCTGTACCCTTTGACAATAATAACAAAATTATTGTAACTGAGCACGAAATAAGAAATAATGGCAGCTGTATATATCAGAGTTATTTGAAGATGACAAGAATATTATTACCGAATTCTACCAAAACTGTACTGACGGCTTAGAAATTATAAAATGCGAAGTAGAACACGCTATAAATAACGCTAAAATTAGAAAAGCTTGTGGTCTAGATGATACACCAACTGAGTTGCTGATACTATTGATAAGAGAATAATAACATAAAAGTAGTAGTAAGACTTTTTAGTTCAATATATAACACCGGAGTGATTTCCGCAGATTGGCTCAAATCCATCTTTGTCGCAATACCTAAAAACACAATGCAAAGAAATGCTCAGAATATCGATTAATTAGCCTAATAAGCTAAACTCTTGAAATTTTCCTCAGAATACTTCACAACAGAATTAGACGCAAATGCAAAGAAGATATTGAATATACCCAATTTGTTTATAGAAGTGCTATGGGAATCATGGAGGCACTTTTTGCGCTTACCATCCTATTACAAAAATGCAGTGACCAAAGAAAGGGTGTATTTGCATGTTTCGTGGACTTCAAAAATTCATTCGGTAAAGTACAGCATGTAATATCGGAATATATGACAAGGATATTCGTGTCATTAAAAATTTGTACTGGAATCAAACTGCTATCCTAAAAATTGGAGAGAACTACACCGATGATATCCTCATACAACGAGGAGTCAGACAAGGTTGCATTTTGTTGCCAACTTTATTCAATGTTTACTCGGACCAGTTATTTAAAAAGGCACTTGAGAGACAACCATATGGAATAAAAATCAATAGGGAAATACTTAATGTGATTAGATATGCAGACGATACAGTAATTCTATCAGATAATGTTGAAGGTCTTCAAATTCTGCTTGATCGCATTCACGAGCTAGGAGAGAAAATGGGTATTAAAATAAACTCAAACAAAACCAAATTTTTAGTGTTTAGTCGTGACCCACATCCCGATGCAAAGCTTCAATTGAACGGAGTCCAAGTTGAAAAAGTTCACAAAATGACATATTTGGGAACTGTGATAACGGACCAACTAGATCTAGACATAAAAATAAAATGTAGAATAGCCATAAATAAAACTACTTTTATAAAAATGAAGTCATTTCTTTGCAATAACCATCTCAGTTTGGAAC